CTGGAGCATAGTTAGGCACAGGGGGACAGGTATTCCCATCAGAGGAAACACTATGTGCAAACCTTGAGCTACAATAGAGCATTACATATTCAAAGAGTTGAATGTGCCCCATAGAGCTGGGGGCCCAGTGAGGATAGAAAGGTTAGCAAGGTCCCAGTCATGTTGGACTTTACATGTCAGGAAAAGAAGTTTGAATGTATTCCAACTGTAATGGATAAGATGGAGGGTTTCAAAAAGGAGAGAAATGTTTTTAAGAGACCATTTTGGAATTCTAGTTCTGATGATGGCAGGATAGTTTATATTCTACAGATAACAATGATCATATCTTGACAAAATGTAAAAAACAACTGTTTTAAGGCATTGGAGAGTGACCAAAATAAAGCAGAAACTGGACTGGTTTTAATCCTTGAAAGAAAAGAACCACATTGGGAAAGATCCATTTCACATGGTTTTTCACTAAGGACAATCCCAAATCCAACTGCATGTGGCAGATGAAGTTCAGGCAGAAAGCCACAGTCTCATGCCCTGAGCAATCAGGAGACAGCATTCAGGATGGACTGCCAAAGGCACTATATATTGAGTGGGAAATCCAGAGAGGAGAGAACTACAAAGGGAAATCTCCAGAATATTTTATAAACTTTCCTCAAATCCTTAACTGACTCCTCAGTCTCTTCTGTGCAGGTGAGATTCCAAGGATTCAAGGTGAGTAATACCAGGATGGCTGGAAAGCCAAACAGAGATTTCAACTGGTACCCATCAGAGGTGATGTCCAAGTCTGACCCCTGACGTGAGAGGGACTTGATAAACACTTTTACGCAGCTTTAAATGGAAAGCCTGAAAGAACCATGACTTAGAAGTAAAGGCAATGTTTCAGGACTAATGCGTGTATCCTAGAACTAAGGGAATATTCAAACAGGTCTGCCCTAGCGAAGCTGAAAGCCAAATCTTCACAAATTCAAGGTGATCCAGCAATAATTTAACTGCCTGCCAGAAGAAAATACAACACACTTCAGAAGAAGATGACAATCCAAAGCCCCTACAATGTTTCATCCTTATTCATTTTGCCCAGAGATAATAATCAGCAGAAGAGTCTAGATGCAAACCCAGGCCTCGCTCCAAAACCCAAGCTCTTGGCTTCCTGGTAGCCAAGGCAAAAATGAAACATCGGCTCCAGAAAGCGCCTCTCACAGGGCCTGGCAACATCCATGATGCCTGATAAGTGATTTCCCTGCCCATTCTCGCATAGCTCATCATGAGAGAGAAACTTTTTCCTGAACTTGAGCTCCACAAAGAATTTGCTCTGTGGTTTTGTACAAGATACACTGATACAACATGACGGATAATGTCCCCAAGGTAAACATTACCAAAACAGCAGAAGCATTCCACATCACAGGAAAATGGAGGGCATAATGTTAGATCCTAATTTATTAAGTGCAATTAAGTAGGCATCTGGAGTATAAATCCAGCTATGTAATGTTTTCTCAAAGTGGCTTGGAAAAGCTGGGAGGAACTCGGTATATAACTTGGCTTCTAGGAGAATGGTTTTTTCATTTCTCTTGCCTGGAAATGGTCTACTTTTAGACTTCTGCTGCTCTCTGGTGGCTCTGAGAATAAAAGCACCCAGCAAAGACTCTCCACTCAAAACTCCAGACCCATCCATCGGGGTGGAAGGGGAGGAGCAGCTGAGCTCCCCACACACCACTACAAATAGGTGGACCTCTTGTCAGCCCTCGACCTCTGCCTACAACAAAATCCCAAGTTCAAGTTCAGCCCTTCAGCTCTCTCTCTCTCTCTCTCTCTCTCTTTCTCTCTCTCTCTCTCTCCTGTCATTGCTACCCATAGGCAGGTCTGCAGCAGCTCCAACATGGACAGGGGTAGGCTGCCCCAGGTAAGAAGGAATGATCTAGAAAGGGTCCTTCTCCTGGTGCTCAGCCTGAGCTGCCCGGGGCTCACGCCTCCCTCTCCAGTACCACCCCCCACCTCAGCAGAAAATCATTCTCCAGTATTTTAGGATCCCAAGGCTGTTGTTTTTCATTGAAAGCTCTTCTTTACTGATATTTTTTTAACTATATGCATGTATTAGTTTGATTTTTTTTTTTTTAACAAACAATAAAATGATAAGCAAAACGATGGTAGGGGGAATCTGCCAAAATGTTCTGCAGCCAGTCACACTGACACAGCTTCCCAGTTCCCTGCAACAGGAGCCTGGAACCATAGGCGTCCCTGGGATGGCCACTGCACGGCTCAGGCCAGCCACTCTTCTCAGATCAGGCGACACTGACATACGTCTACTCTGCTCAAAGAGATGAATGTTCTAAACCCAGTAGAAACCAGAATTTCACACTTAAATGTGAAAACAGAGCCAGAAAAGGGGGTACAAAAACGCATCGGTGATGGGAAATTTTTTTTAGATGTACCTCAACTTCTTCCATTAAAGCATTTTTGCAACATCCAAGGTAAGCATTGTACCTTTTCCTCTCCTGTTTATAAAAATCCTACCTACTTAGCAATTTCTGTCCAGATTTTAATTGCATATGTCCTTTGACCGAGTATGGCATATACAGTGCATTACCTACCGGCCCCCAGAGCATTCTCTCCTTCCTTGCTGATAGAACCTTGATTTTTATATCTAGGTGGGCCTCTCCCTCAGCCTCAGGGATGAAGCAGGATTCATTTGAGACAGTCACATTTTCCCATTTCCGTTTGCAAACCTTTGCTTTTCCTTCATCTCTTGCGACTACAGTTCTGGTCAATAAGATAAGAAGGGAAGTCGGGAGGGGAAGGCTTCTGGGTAAAATGGCCTCAGTCATTAAAAGAAAAGCACTATTTGAGATAACTTCAAGATATTTGACTATTTGAGGTAGGCTTTTTGCCACTGTCTCCTGTACACACTTTCTTCCTGCTGTGACAGCTAGAGCTGCAGCAACCATCCCCCACCCGCAAAAACAAAAGGCAACATGCTGATGGTGGGAAAGGAAGGAGTGTTGAGCTGCTAAGCCAGCCTCACCCCTTCTCTCCAGACTCCAATGTGAGAAAATTCAGTGTCTTCATCGGCTAAGCTACTGTGAGTTGGGTTTCTATTACAAATTCCTAACAGATAGACTTGAGAACTACATTCATCCCTTCGTTCAACAAATACTTATAGAGGGCCTTTTTTCTTTTTTTTGCCAGGCTCTATTTAAAAAAACTAAAATTCTGCTACTAGGAATTTATTGAGATTTACCTGCAAAAGTTGGCCAAGATTTATAGATACAAGGATATTAATGTCCAACAAGGAATGACTTGTTAAATTAGCTATTTTCATGGAGTTCTATTAAAAGAATGTATGCAACGACATAAGATTTCCAAGATATGGAATATGATCCATTTTGTATACATAAAAATATAATTTTTAAAAATTATTTTGGTTTTGGCCAGCCAGGCATAGCTCAGCGGTTGAGCATCGACCTAGGATCCAAGAGATTATGGTTCGATTCCCAGTCAGGGCACATGCCTGGGTTGTGGGCTTGATCC